AAAGGCCTTCACATGATTGAGCACCCTCACGAGGTGCCAATGAATACGTGTGTACCTCGAAATGCAGCAGATCCTGTAGACGCAGCAGGTGCTTCACATGCAGAACCTGTTGCACATGGTGCAGGTGCTGCAGATGCAGCTAGCAGCAGCAAACATAGCAGGCAAGTCCTTTGTGACCCCCTGAACCCCCCCCCCCCACCCCCCACTACTAATTACTTCACAAAAGTGCTCTGATTCACGTGGAATTTGGTGTGTGGGGCGGCTAAACCAGCACAAGACAACCCCCTTTTTTTTTCTTGACTTTTTTTTTGCCCCAAAAAGCCGTCGTCCGAAAACCCAGACGACCCGGACCACGGACGCCAAGAGGAGACGTCCGGTCTCTGGACCATTGGTAACCTAGGTAATTATTTTGTTTATGATTGTGTGACAATCAATTGTTTAGGGAGTTTCATTTCAAATTCCAGTCAATATGAGGTGATCGTTAACTGTATATATAACATCACCTTTACTAGCCAACATTGCTTTGCACAGAATGCATTCATGTGCACCTGGATGGCGTAACAGCCAGGTACATTTTCCCCGATGCAGTGCCAGTTTAGAGAGGCGCTTGGGTCCTCCCTTTTTTTTCCCCCTTAACTTACGTTCCTGGGGTGAAGCAATATGCTAGTCTTGATAGGCCCTGGGGGCCATCTGCGCTTTTCTTTACCCCCTTATTTTTCGTGGGAGAAGCAAACAAACGGCTTTGCTAGTTTTGAGAGGCCGTGGGGGCCATTTGCCCTTCTCTTTACCCCTTCATTTTGTTCCGGGGGGAAACTAAACAAGCCGCTATGCCAGTTTTGAGAGGCATTGGAGGTGCTCTGGCCTTTTTTTTTCCCCTTAATTCATGTTCCTGAGGGTAGGCAAACACGCAGCTATGACAATTTAGCCAAAGTGTGTGTTCATAAAGGCCATCGTTCACAGTCCAGTGTTGCAGGTGCGGTTAACAGGGACCCCCACTTTTCAGCCCAGGTTAACCCTCCCAGCACTTAACAGAGCAGAGCCTCACAGATCATGCCCATAATGGAGAGTTTGACATGGTGGTTAAACCACCAGTACTTCCTAGAGTGGTGCTCGTTAGTGCGCCATGATTTTAGGAAACGTACGCGCTACTACAGGAGCGCCCAAATTCATCAGACTAGAAACCTTTCTACTCTATTTTTTCCCACGGCCGATAGTTGGGCCAAGTACTGGTGGTTTAACATCAACCAATCGCAAGGGACAAATTTGTGGGTTCCGAGGCACTAACAACTGGTCAAAATTGGCCCATGGAGTTCACGTCGATTCATGCCTTGGTTCCTACCTCGGCGTTACTTAACCTTGTCATTTATGCCTTCACCATTTAACAACTGGTCAAAATTGGCCCATGGAGTTCACGTCGATTCATGCCTTGGTTCCTACCCTGGTGTGTCATTAATGTCTTCACCATTTTCAGCTCGTTAAGTACCTCTAAGTTTCCATAGAAGAGAGAAAGTTACATTAAAAAAAAAAAAAAAAAGAGAAAAGGTTACGTTGTGGAGCGCATCAGTCCCACACGGGGAGCCTCCTGGCCGTGTCACGCAGAATTTTGGCAATCGAGACGGAAAGCGTTCAAGTAGCGGTGCCGCTCCAGCCGACTGCGCCAGCTATACATCTCTCGAGCTCCAACGACAGGATAGGACCCCTAGAGGCATAACTTACCTCCACCTATGGGAGTTATCACCATCTCTTAGGTGGGTTTATCCCCGCCAAGCTACTTGCCCACGTTCGAGAGCTTTTATGTTCAGTCGTAGAGCCGAGGGCGTTTCTCGTTCGCTGTAGTGTAAGGGTTAACGCCTGAATTGACCCCGTGCGCAAATCAACGCTTGGGGCGTTGATCTCCCAAGCCCAACCCCACGCCGGTCGATTAGGACGACCACTCTAACCATGCGATGCTCTGACTCAAAAATCTTAACTCAGACACAACACACACCTATATTCCCTCTTTACCCTTGTCCCATAACTATTTTGGTACTGGCAGTTAAACGTCTCTCGCGAAGCTTGGCATAAATAGTGAGGCTACGTTGGCGCCATTCTAACAATCAGTCATGTGCAAAAGCATGCGCGCTCAATATGACGACGTGGTATGTGATGCCCATGACCACACGACCCTCAATGGTTTCGAGGGTCGCATTTGACACTCAATTGTTGGTCGACACGTCTCTTAAAGGGTTATTCTTATAACGCTAGACAAGCGGATGCGGTTGCTTGTCCTACCTTTTCCATCAAGAGGTCGTGTGGAATGATCCACAACACCTTGACCTTCTTATCTAGAACATCTACATCCCACCAAACAACTTTAAGCAAGGAATCTAAATTATTGCGCGTACGCGTGCAACTCGCCATGGGTCTCGTGAGTAAGTGTACGTGCACGTCCACTTGACCATAACGACTACACAAAATAGATGGTTAAATCACTTAGACATAAGGTTGTGTGACATCAGAGAAATCACTCTCACAGTCATAAGTGCAACTCGTCCATCAGCATTTCAACAATCATAACAATCATCACGCCTTAAAATTCATTGTATTAACGCATACTTGCTCTCACATAAAACCAAGAGTCGCATGCCACGCACTAACGGGGTCAAGTCTACCATTCTTTGCCACTCACACCCCGCCTTACACACACAATCCCCAACCATTTTTCACCATCCCACAGCAAAGATATGTCTTTAAAAATGACCATTCAAAAAGAAATTGGGTGAAAATCCCAAGAAGCATATAAAACATACGGGGCTAAGGCACTAGGTGAGATGCAAAGGCAACTGAAGTTGTGTTGTAAGTCGGCCTATTATCAAACGATAACAGGAGATTGATGATCCTTAAAGGATCAAGCCGAAACTAGTCGAGCCTTCAATTTATAGATGATCTGCATCACAATATAGGTCAAAAAAAACATCACTTATTTTAGGACAAATGGAGGATGTACTCCATATCATAGCCTAGCTCCTTTACTAACCTTCTCCTTACTTTTCCCTAACTGCCGCAACAGTTCCACTAGGGAAGTGAGCTACCA